ATGCAGTACTTTGCTAGCTACAGTTTATACTACATATAAAACCATTATGAGACTATGAGTCCTTGTGTACTTTATCGGTTTTGAAAAGAAACACTAACCCAGGGAGTTTGTGTTTTAATGCCGTTAATTTAGCTAGTTTGAAAGATAATATCAGATACTATACCTGCAATAAAAAAAACACCATGAACAGTTTCGGAGTTTATATCAAGTTTACTGGGCCATATATGGTATATATACATTTCAATCTATATTTTTTTTTGTGAGAAAATGACAAACGAGCTGGCGGTTCACCTGGTGTTAAGTGGCAACCGTCGCCTATGGACATTTGCAACACCGCAGGGTTGCGGACGCGTTGCCACCATTTAATAAAGTGGGCCCGGACGGACAATTCGTGCAACAGCGATGACCGTTGAATGGTTGCAGAAAGAATGACAATAGAGGGACAATCGTTTCACAGAGGGGCTGCCAAAGGATAGAGAAAGGTAAAAAGGGTAAAGTAACAGATGGCGTGACATGGTCAGGAAAACGTGGAGCAAATTGCTTACTTACAATAGCATCAAAATAAAAGTATAAATGGATACATACAAAAAATATTTTACAATTATATACAACTTGTCATAGTTGAATTCGATATAGTAAAAGATAAAATAAATTTTAATCTTTTAAAGAGCCATTACATTAACATACACAGTGGTCGTATTATTAAGATTTCACCGTGAATGTTATTCAAATAGTTTTTAAACATTGAAAGTAACTCTCACGAACGTCACTAACATATTTAACTGTTAACACCGTCCTGCTCTGCGATATCACCGAAAATAGGCGACGAACCATCTCTGTATCAAATTCTAAAGTTGAGTCGTCTATTTTGTCTTTATACGGGCCGCGTCAACGGTTAACGCACCAAAATAGCGCCAACGGTCGTGTATTTCGGTCAGCTGATTTACGGATTCTTATTCTTATTCGGTATCAAATTTATATATGACTAGCTGCTGCCCGCGACTACTTCTGCGTAGAATAGGCCGAAGGCGTAACATTCACACAGAAAGACAGATGTACATAAAAATATGTATATATAAATTATAGCCTATGTGTTATTCTGATGTATAAGCTATATTATTGTAAAGTTTCGTTAAAATCCATTCAGTAGTATTTGCGTGAAAGAGTAACAAACATCCATCCATACACACAAACTTTCGCGTTTATAATATTAGTAAGGATATTTGTTCCTCAAATATTTCTCCTGCCCATATTTCTAGATGTGTCGGCATAACATTCAATTATGCAGTTAATTGTATTAGTTAGGTTTTTGTATGTCCGCCTGACGTCTCCTTGGGAATAAGCATAAATATCCGGGACAACTATCTGTGTATCACATAAATACATATCCCTAAGTGGGAACCTACGACCTCCGCTGATGCTGATGGCTTGGCAACTGCGCCACCAAGTCATCTTAATTTGTTTTTAAAATATACAATAATATGTAACTATTTAATATAGACAACTGCTAGGAACGGGCAACAATACACAGAGTAATTCTGCACGTCCTCTACATATGGAAATTTTACAACTTAGGGCCGCAATTTGGTGTTCTTTATTAAGGTCAGCGAAATGTTTTCTCTATCTTTAATTTTTTTTACAACACTGTAAAGCATTTTTTTTTTCAAAATCATGTCGACACCGTACTATCAATTGACGTTTGACGACCCGAATGGCGTAGTGAGTGTACCTGCCTCCTGAGATAGAGGTTGTGGGTTTGATCTACTATCTGGGACTACTAGAAAAATATTGTGTGATGAATATAGTGTTTTTCTATCTATATACGTATAATTTATATTCAATTACAAAAGAAGAGTATGCTTAAGTATGTTTTTCAGTTATCTATACCCATAGTACAAGCGTAGCTTAGTTTGGGACTAGAGAACGTTGTGTAAAATGTGTCCTTAAATATTTATTATTTGTTTCTTTATTAAAAATACCAGTCTGGTTGATGAGCCATTGGTCTTCTTGTAAGGTGTACAATGATCCTTATATTTATTCTTTTTAAATAATTAAACATTGTATAAATTAACAAGCATATTTGACAAACAAAACCTACTCAAAGTATCTATCTCACTCACTACATTTTCTACTTGATTTTGAAGATTTCCCAGAATATGTAGTTCACCTTTCTTTATACGGACGACACGACGGAATTTCTCCACTTACTAGCAGTTTCCAGCGTACTCGTTGAATGTTCTCCCTTGAATTTGAAATAGTAAATTTATTTTTAAACGCGTAAACTCACATCAGAAATGTACTTACAAAAAAAAAATTTCGACGTCAATTTTTGGTTTCGATTTTTGTAGTTAATTTTAGTTGTAATTACAAATTCGATTCTGTAATCATCAAATGTAATTACAAAATGATATCTATCAATGAAACTGCTAATCTAGTTGTTGCTGACGGTCTGTAGGCTAAATACAATGTACATTTTTATAGGCGGCACTGTAATGAAGTTGTAATGCGGGTGCGTTGAACTCGGCGTTTTGCAATCCATTGTTTCAACGTATTATTCGCAGCACGCATGGCAATTTTGTTTGCATATACACCATGTGGTTCTTTTTCCATTAAACTGTACGAAAATGGGCACGGGCCCGTATTGTGTTTGCATTTGGAGGAAGAACAAGTTTTTGTAATTTTTTTTAATTATTATTTTATTGTACGCTATAATAAAACCTAATAACTTCGACCATCAACTTAAATAAAGTTTAATATTTTAACTCATAGAAATCTCGAGTGCCTTATACAATTAGTATAATTAATCTAAAGCTGGTACCTAAATAAATCAAATTTGAAAATTTCAAAAAATTTTTAAAGTGAAAATTATGAGGAAAAATCTATGGTGTTTGACATCAAATCGTTTGTAGACTAAGCGTAAGAGTATTTATAGTAGTTATATAATTGTATGTATTTTATACTTTATTGCTTTATTGAATTCTCTAATAACACGTCCATCCTATAGAGCCATGCTAGCTCAAAGTCAAACAATCCACAGTAGAGTCGTGTACGGATTATACCATAATACCCATACCAACGAAGGCCATTGCCCAGCAGAGGGACATTAGCTGTACTATATAAGCTATCGCTTTACCCTACTATTAATTCGTCAGAGCTATCTTATGATCAAGTTGTTATTATATAAAATATTTAGTTACCGACAATGATATTAATGATATTTTAGCAAAACAATATTCTAAATCTCTATAAACTCTACTACGATATTTTGTAAGGATGGAAATCTAGGATCGCTTAAAAACAATTTTAAAGTTATAAATAACATTCAGATTGTTTACTGGTTAACGCTCCGTTTTTAATTCTTTAATCATTCAGTAATTCCGGTTTACAAATAATTCATAAAAATACTACGTGAGAAAAGTGGCAAGCGAGGTGGCGGTTCACCTGATGTTAAGTGATAATCGCCTCACTGTTGCAGATGTTGCTAACTTGTAAGAAAGTGGTACCCGGTTACGTCACCCACCAGACGACACGTATAAATATAACACTTCCACTTCACGCCGGTCTTCTGTGAGGTCGCGGTACTGACCCGGACGGACCTGACCATTCGTGCCACAGCGAAGAGTGTTGACTCCGGTTTACTGCATTTTATAGTTGTTCATAACAACGGTTCGTTTCGATATCGCATTGTTTTCCGCAGCAGCTGCCGCGTGTTTCCGTGTAAAATTTCGGAAGCGTCACGTGCCGCCGCAATTACTTGGTGTAATGAGATATGACCGGCGTTTCCTGCCGTAGTGTGTTCGAAAGCCATACAGTCTGCGGTCGTCACGGTCGGGTTGTCCGCGATATCGGAAGGGGTGCCAGCGACACCTGGTGCCGACGCATATGACCGCCTCAATGCGTCGTGCGGCGCGCTATTCAAGTTAGGTCGAAATGGTCCGTCGACGGTCGAGTTCTTCCGCTCAATGTTGCATTATCGATTTATGTTAGCAAAGTAGAAGAAAATGATTGAACGTCCACCACTGAAACTAAGTGGTTAGTTCAAACTGTATAATGGATATAACAAAATGTATTATTCTCTTTCTCCTTTCCTCTATGTTATATCCTTCTACTATCTCATGTAACGAAATGTGTCCTATTCTTCGAAATTTCTTTCTCAATTCTCGTCCGATTATCGAATCTCTTCAAAATTATGTTCTTCTTCTATTATCTTATGAAATCAAGGCGAAAAATTGGGGTTTTTAAGGAACATGATAGTAAATAATCTACGCCGCCAATTGATATTTTCAACGTTTCAGGTGCTTTTTCCACCTAGTGGCTGTTAGCTGGCTACCTTACTTATGAAATCCAAGTGCTTTACTTATCGGACGCCGGTCTTCTATGATGTCGTGTCCTTGGACAAATCAACAAACTTGCAGTGATGGTTCATCATTATGGTCTGTTGTAGGGCCACGAAGCAGCTTCTGTTGTTGCAGGAATGGGCAGGCTCGTTCGGGGAAGTAACACGGCCTCATACAACACCAGTGTGAAATGGAAGTATGATGAAATGGTTATACGTGACGTTTTCTGAGTGAGGTAAACACGTCAAGTGTTTTAGATGATTGATGGGTGACGGTAATCACTTAACATCAGGTGAAACGCCTGCTCGCTTGCCAACTTTTTACTTTAAAAAGTCGAAGCCTCTTCATAACTCTATAGCAGTATTCTTATTAAATACTTTAGGTATAAATCGTTGTGAACACGTTTATATCTATCTTATCGGTTGATAGAACATATGTCTACTGTTATTTTTTTTAAGTATGTGTCAAGTCACATCATCATATATTAAAGAATGTCAACAATAGTTATGGAATCAACTTTCTGTTAAAAGCGCTAGATATCGGTTTTAAGTTTGTCGATAGCGTGTTGCAAATCACGTGCGCCATACAAATCCCGCCACGGACGCGATTTTATCCCCGCAATGACCGGCCCCGATGAACCGCCGCTAATTAATTGTTACGTTAATGCGGTGTAAATACGCGCCGGTGCAGACCGAGCGGGCGTTGGCATTAAGCCTTTACGCATTCATATTTGCAAGTAGCCAGTACAGCGGCAGACGTTGCATGGGCGCGCGCCGCAAGTCACACGCTCTCATCTTTGCGTCCCATCGTTACAGTGCGTTTGGAACACGCGAAAATTGCCCTTATCGCTTCCCAATAAAGCGCGAGGCGGCGGTAAATGAATCGTTTAATTACTCGACGGTGACGGATGGTGCCGCGTGCCTCGCGACGCCTATGAAATCGGCGACTATTCGGCCCAGTCCGATGCCGGCGCGTGTTGCGCTTTCATCTTGTGTATTTCTAGTAGATATGTTTCCGTGCCGCTAGGAAATTAAAGTGCAGTTCAATCCTATCGCCGCATTCCAACTCGAGTACTCTGTTATCAGTAAGTAATGTACACCGCTCCTTGCTTTATCTGTGTAAACTCCGTAACACATTAGTTGTGATCTTAAGTAGGACTTCGGTCTTATTATTGTACTAAACGAGTCGCCCTTTCTTGTAATGGCAGAAAGCCATTGTCGCTATAAGAAATATGTGTAAACATATATGTATGTGAAAGTATGAATTCAAGCAGCCGTCGAAAAGTTAAAGCTAATTTATGTGTGTTTTATTTTGCGACTTATTTTACGTTGCGAATTATTACTTAGTTTGACGATATTCCATATCGCAAAAATATAAAATCATAAAGATATTCTACTTACGTTCTGAATTGTTTTCTGACAATTAACTAATACAAAAACGTATATCTGATTCAAAATACGTATGGCGATAGATGGAATCATCTATCCCAATCTTAAATGGGGTTTACAATGCCTCTTCAGGTTGAATGGACGTTGTCATGGCAACTGTTATGCAATTACTGTAACTAAATATATGACACTGTTAAAAGTCTTTGCAGGCACGATATATTTACTGTCGATAAATATAATTATCTAACCTGGAACAACTGTAGTATAGTATATATTTAAGTAAGAATACTTATTTGCTGTAACCAGGAAAATAGAAACTTTAATCAAAGATCAAAAACTATTTTCAACAAAAAACTTCGAAATGTTTATTGCTAGGAAAATAAAACTTTCTTTTAAGTATTTATTTATTTCTTAGTTAATTCATTTATTAATCAATTAATTTCTTTATATACTTTTTCATAATTAATTTACTTAATTGTCTTTTAACTTTGTACTTGAATAATTGAAATGAAAAAACAAACGAAAAAGATGAAGGAATGATAATGAAATTGAAAATAATATATTTTTTCTACTAAATAAACATCAACTGTGCATAATATACGTACGCTTCTAATAGCACAAACAAACTATAGATACAGATACACAAATATAAGAAAAGGGGTCGGGATTTCACGACGGTTAAAATTTTCTCCGTCTATCTCAAATTCGCCAATAGTCACTAAAGCGCGATAAGGAACGTCGTTCCAAAAGATAACTTATATTAAGTAATAAAACACTTGGGTGATTATTTATTGCGATACAGTTCGCATAACATAACCGTTTTCAATAAACAACACAGGCGTATGCCGACATCGACGCCGTAATTGCCATTTATGGACCGCCTTTACGAAGCGTGCATTATTTTAAGAGCTTTGGTACGAAATATTTATTCGCATTTTGGTGTAACAATTAACGTTCGACAAAATCGCGTTTTTCTTGACTGAACAGTGTCGAATAGCCGTTATATTTTTATGTTTGCTAATACAGGTACCTAAATATGGATGTATTTAAATATTAACAATTAATCAAATCATACATTAAATTTTATATTTTTCTTCATAGTCTCGGGCCGGAATCAAAAAAAAATATTAAAGTCAAGGTTCTGAAATAGGTATGTTATTTTATTACCTGTTTACTTGTCGACATGATTATTGAGTATAACTTCAATTTGACGAGTTTCGCTGTTCAAAAATAACACGTCTTCTTAATTTCGCTTTGTTACGTTTTAATATTGCTAACGACATGATAGCTTGAAGTTACATCTATTTAGATGTAACACAGCGTGAATGTTTTAATTTAAATCATTTATTATTAAGCTTCCACTTGAGTTTCTATGCCGGGCGCGGCGCTTTATCGTCGAATCATCGTCCAACAAGTTTACGGTCGGCCTGCTACAGGTTCAATATGTATCCTTCCCACGTAATTCAGTCCTCTTGTGGAATGTGCGAGCTATGTCGCCAATTTCTACGGCGCTTATCCTTTCATCGGGTACGACGGAAACTTCTAGATGATAAAAGTGACGTTGCACTTTAGAAGCGTCTTAACAGCTTGCTTTTAAATCCTAGGAAATGTATTGATTTATGTTGTTGTTTTAAATGCTAATAAATAGAAGACATCCGTAAGATAAATTATTTCTAATTTCGTGCAGTGAAGGAGGTAACTGGAGGTCTTCTTGTCAAATGACCCGCTGCTCAGTTGCAATCTCTGGAAATTGATTAATAAGACAAATGTTGTTTATAGCTCTGTTTGTTAATTTGCAGTCATTGAAATGTCCTCTTCTTTGTTATCACACTCTCCCCGAAGCTTCGAAGCAATGTAACGTCATAAATATCGGTTGTACGATGTTATGTTTGACACTCTTATCTACTACGTCCTGTTACTCATGCTTAGCTTCGCCAGACCGGCGGCCGGCCCGTCTTAACTTGCCCCAACAGATTACCCAGACGTGACATGTTTGCCGATAAACGCTGAATTAGCATTCATAACTTTAGTGTAATATCTCATGGCCATTGTCATGCATGTTGCACTGCACGAGGGTAATTTAGGATCGATCGATTCTAAACTCGTTACTCCCTAATGACACTTTTGTCGTTAATCTAAATTTCTACTTCTTCATAGCCATAGTTTGTATTACGTTTACTTTGAAGCTACGTAGAAAAGTAAAATTTAATTCAATCAGCCCTTGAAATAAAACTATTTATATTGCATTTTTTTCTAAAGTCTTGTCCTAAATCAAACGAGAGTATTGCGTGTGAAATTATTTGAATTTGTGTAAGTAATTTGAACTCAATAAAATTGTTTGGTTTCAGGTATAGCTGCGATTGCTGGCTATTTGTAAGTTATAATACAAAGTGGGTTATTTTAACGCTGCAAACAGCTACGCGTTATGATTTATATGTAGCGATTTATTCAGTGTTAGGATTAAGTTACTCCAGTCATTCGTTAGGCGTATTGTTGACGTCCTCGCTTATATTTCGCGATAGCGCCGCTAGAGGCTCGCTAAACGTAAATATTTGCAATTAAAATTAAGCCGCATCGCCCTATCCGTGATATTATTCAAATTGCACGCCACAGGAGACCTCGGAAAGTTTTAATTAATTAAGAGGGTCATAAGACAGCCCGTTAAGGAAATAACAATGATCGCGGGCCCTAACCGGCGTCCTTATTTATAGTAGGCCCGAGGACTATTAGGCCTGCCCCCTGTCATCATCTTGTGGCTTTTAAGGCCGCCCTTCCTCATATTTGCCTTCCCTTGCAACCCCTTTCGCCTTGCGTTTATAAGGTTCTTATCATGGCACACTTGTATTCTTCCTTGAAAGGACTCCTGTTTTAGCTGTTTGACGAACTCTCATATAAAGAATATACGACATAGAAATTGCACAATGCTTTAAATTATAATATAAAACTTGTTGTACTGTAGTCAAGTATATATTTTATCTTTTAGTCAAGTAAATCAAGTATATATTTTACTATATTTACCATACTATATCACCTAATCTGTATTCATTTTGGTATAAAAAGGTTACGCACATTCACTACTAAAGCTGAATGTCTGTAATTTTATAATAAATTATTTTGTAGCCATATTCTTTATTAGGAAAAACGAATGTCTATATTGTAAGGACGTTTACCGTTAATATCTAGTTCCTGAAAAGTAATCTGTAGGGTAAAAAACACTCGGCCCTTGTCGGAATACAACCTAGAACAAAATGTAACCGAAGTAAAAAAAAAATACTCATTACAAAGCTAAATCTATTCAATTTAATATAATCTGAAATATTTTTTGGAATAATCCTTTTTAGGATAATTTATCCTTTAATTTTTACGAATCATATAAGAAATGTTTATATGTTCTTTGTTTTTATTAATTTTATATATGTAATAATATGTATAATATAATAATCATAGTCATGTTTAATTAATTTTTTCTGTAATATTCGTGAGTATTTGTTTGTCAAATAGTCGTCGAATGTCGCTGTAGATATCATACTGTCAGGCTGCGTTTATACTATTTTGTGTACACTCTTGAAATATAGAAGCGTGACGTGCAGGGCCCTAGAGTGTGAGGCAAAGCGTGAACACTCAACTATCTCTCGCCCTCCCCTAAACTCTTCGGCGTGCTCATATTTAATACGTTTTGAGAATTCGTTTTGCCTGTGATCTTTGAAAGTCCTTGAAATTCTAAATGAGCCAGAGTTAAACATTCTAACTTTCGACAGGGATATGTTTGAGGTAAAACATTTAAACGTTCTTTCGTTCTATTAAATACCTACGTATTTTACGTTAGCTTTTCCCCTCTATTCCTCAATTTCATACCGCGCCATGCATAAGCAAGCGAAAAGCCGCGGCAGACGCTGCGTCTTTGTCAACCCACGAACGGCAAACGTAGACGAAGTGCATTCTCTAAAATATTGCTTGAGCGTCCGCGATATTTCGTAACAACTTTAAACGCTCACCCGCTTGAAAAACCGTGATGCAAGAATCGACATAAACCGATAATTTATTGCTATTTCAGTTTTAATTTAAAATAGAAAGGAAAGACAAACAAGCTGGTGTTGGAACATAAAACTCGATCTGGTCTAACTCATATAAAAAAAAAAACTAATCGATACCAGATTCTTTGCTTGCGATAAAATACACTTAGAAAACGTGAGTGAAATCTTATAAGCGCACATAAATTGAATTCGCGTACTTTGACGTTAATGTCTTGTGTTGATTTTAGAATTCGACTGGTTTTTATGATCACGTGCCCAACTTTACTAGAGAAATCAAATATCTTTGACCAGCGACTATAAAACAAAAAAGATGCTTATTTTGCTAAGCACTGGCCATTTCCTTCTACAATAAGATAGTAATAATTAATAATGAAGTGCAATAATAATGATCTACAATGCGACGGACTTAATATATGTTATCATATATTTAATCATTCCATTTTATGGTACTTGTCCACTTGCAATTATCGCCATTAACTTTTCAATCAAAACCTTTTGCTCAGTAATGCTATCGTCATCAGCTTATAGCTTTTCGACCGACTTCAAAAAAAGAGTAGGTTCTAAATTCAACTGTATTTTTTTTAATGTTTGTCAGAACTTA